GTGGTCCTATAATTCCTGCATTCCTTGCCTCCTCCTTTCTTGGGGTTTGGAATGTATATCAAATGTTTCTAATTTGTCTGCCATTGTTTTGTTTTCCATATTTGTTGGCATGTTCTTCTTAGGATTTTGACAGATTCAGTCTCTGTGGCTTGAAATAGTTCTATTGGTATTCCATTGACCCCTGGTGAATTATTCCTTCTCAGTGCTTCCAGAGCAGCTTTCAGTTCACTTTCTAAAACTGTAGATTCTTCATCACAGAATTCCTCTTCAAAGGAGTTTGTTGTCCTTTTATGTCTTCTATATAGGTATTCAGTATATTGTTTCCACCTTCTTGTTATTTTATTCTGGGCAGATAATGTTCTTCCCTGTTGGCTTTTCAACATTCCTAATCTAGGCTTAAATTTCCCTGAAATTTCTTGGATCTTCTGGAAGAGATCCCTTGTTTTTCTGCTTTTGTAGTTGTCCTCTATTTCTTTGCACTGGTTATTGTAATAGTATTCCTTGTCTATGAGTAACAGTTGCTGAAACACTGCATTTGGGATTGTGATCCTGCTTCTGTCACCTTCTGTCACATACTTGCTCTAAATTAAAATATCCTTGGCCAGAATAACAATAAACTTCCAATCACATAATTTCCATTACATAATTTTTTTTAAAAAAAAAATTACATCTGTGTAATGTTAATGTCTCAGTAACTGCTTAAGTTATCTTTCTGTGGGATGAGTATGTGCAGTGTACGGAGTATATGAATGGCTACAAAATGTCTGCATTGAGTTTTGACAAATACCTTGTTTGTGAGAATTGGTTTTATATATAGAAAGAAAGCTTAAACAAAGTTTTGTTAATCAAGCTTGTTCTCAACCCTTCTTTGGACAAAATGGGCAAGCTGTCATGCCCGAAAGCCTGCTCTTTGCCAATTAGGACTGAACTTTCTTGTTAATATTGCTTAGTCCTTGAATCTAATAAAACTCATTTTCCATTCCGTCCTTGAAATGTTTTCAAGCTGACAACTCTTTCAAATAAGAAATCGTACTGGCAAGTCCCAAGGCTTCGTTAATTCCCTTTAGAATCAAAATAAAAATGGCAAATTAATATTTAATGCCTGAAGGTCAGAGAAAGAAACAGGTAGAAATATATAAGCCTATTTAAAGAATGAATGTGAAAACATTCGATTTTTTTGGACTACCACCCCGAATGTGAAATGCTTTGCAAATGGAAGGTAGAAACAACAAATCCATTTTGTGCACAATATATTGTGAGCTGCCCTGAGTAGACTCCTGTCTAGAAGGACGGGATAAAAATCTAATAATAAATAAACAAACATAAATAAACAGTAAATATGTTTTAATGTGTATTTTATATTTGTTAAAGCCACATTTTAAGCTATATTTTTTGAAACCTTCAAATCACAGTAATTGGAGAGGCCCTCATAAAATTCAACTTAATATCCGAAGATATTCATGTCATTTATTCAAGCCTCCCCTCCTTCACCGAGGGCATTTAAAAAAAAACACACATTCAAAAACACAAAAACCAAAGACACCTTTTCTACCTCTTTTCCCTTTCTTTTCCCTTTTCTTTGGTTCTTCATTTTTAAAATTCTAAAGGACTAATGAGGCTCCATTTGCTGCCCAGCTTCAATTCTGGTCACTTTGAAAGGAAAGCCCCTTCTTCACCTCTGTAAGTACCAGACTCATTCTGAAGCCCTCTGTTTTGTGCATGTGCCATGTATGGGCCAGTTCGCTATCACTAAGAGTATGCTCACATACTAGTATTATCTGCTGGGTTCCCCCCCCCCCACATTCACCTCTGTAGCTAGTGAGTCTTCCAGCCATCAATATCTGCTCTCTTGAGGCAGCCTGAACTGGTAGAACCTCTCTTTCTGGCCACTTGGCATTATTATTGCCATTTCCATGGCATCGTCCCACTACTTCAACACAACCCACATCTTCTACGTGACTCCAGGCAGGCTACGCCTCAGTCCATCATGTGTGGAAGCTAGGTTTGCCTTTTTGAGTGTGGAATGTACTCATGTAGACTCTAAGAAGAATTGTTTTGCTTTGCTATGGTAGAGGATAAATTAAGTAACATTTCCTTGTGTAGCTTCAGGCTGAAGTCATCAAAACATCACAGTCAGTTTATATGGTTCTTGTCCAATAAAACTTTCAGAGAAGACGATGCTGTCTTGGCATGCCTCTGGGCTCATGGTTAAACCTCCACAGCCCATTGGTCTTGCATGGCTTGCAGTAGACTAAAATACATCTGGGGAGTTCCTCCATGAAATATAGAAGCTACGTTAAGGAGGGCACACTCGCTTCTGTTGCAGATATATTATTATTATGATTATCAAGGACAAAGAAAGCAGCGTTTCCTTGTATTTTCTCCACCTCATTCAACCACAGCTTACCATATTCCAGCACTATTATCTGGATGGTTTTTTTTCATGTCAGACTCATCTGGAAAGGATCATAGGAACTTGAAGCCATCCGAGGTGCAATTTTGACCATTGACCTAGCTTTAGGAAGGAAACTATCCTGCCCATTTATGTCTTCAGCTTTAAGACTGTTCTTGATAGGAGAAACATAAGTCTGTAATCTTGTCTCCCTTTTTCCTAGGGTAAAACCTCCTGAATGACTTTGTGTGTAATAACATTCCCAAATAATCCAGGCCAATTTGAGCATGAAGTGGGCATCACAACACTTTTCTCCTCATTCACTACAAACCAAGCTGCCCAAGACAGGTTGCTGTTGCCCAAATGTTCATTAAATATCTCTTGTGAGAGGAAGGTCAGATCAGAATACTGTAAGAAAAAGGTATAGAAAACATTCTTAAGTGACTGGGTGGTCTACCAGGGCTCCCAAAGCTTTGGTTAAAAAAAAAAAAACAAGAACACTGGGTACTGTTATTAGGCCACATAAGATAGTTCAGTATATGTAAGTCAAGTCAATATTTTCCTATGAGAGTGGTTCTTAAGTCAAAATGTTCTTAACTCAAGCCGTTCTTAATAAGATAGTATAATGTAGATAGTGGAGATCTCTGTTGGAGAACACACAAAACTTCTGATAATTCTTCCTAATAGGTGAGTGAAGGTGCCCTAGAAAACTTCTATGGATACTAGCATTGCAGTGTGTATCTGAAAGAGGATTAACTGGATCACTTGTTTGAGGTCCTGGAAAATCAACTTCAGTTGGGTCTGTCACCTGCTGAAGAGTTTGGTCAGTGAGGTAGTGGTGCAAAGGACAAGTTTTATTTTGCACAGATGGTGTTTTTGCATTCCTTCTTTTTTCCCATGGGAAGCTTTTTCTTTTTCTTTTGTTTCCAATTGGACTCAATTAGCTTTTTCTTTTGTTTCCAATTGGACTCAATGCAGATCAATACCGCATCTAGTGGCTCTTTCCAAAGCCCAACCCCTGCCAAGGTGGAGTTTGCTAGTGGTGTCAGGAAACCTAGATTGACTTTTCAATTTCTCAACATTTAGTTTCTGTGCTTCTCCTTCCTACTGGCAATCACAGTCCCATCCCCAAACTGGACAATGTCCAAGGAGGAAATCAGCTAGGAAGGTCTCAGTATGCCTTATGTTTGCACGGAGTCCAAACTTAGCAGTTGCTCCGCAACTTTATTCAGAAAGGTTGCTCTGGCAAAGCAGGAACAGCAGCTGCTTGAAAGACCACAGCTAATGTTTGGAAAGCTTTCCTTAATGTTGCTTTCCACTTTCATTAGGAGGATCCTCCCCAACATTTTGTAATTTATCTTTGCTGTTCTTCTGTATGGTCTGAAATGGTGCTAGGTTGCAAAGGCATAACCCATGCTACTCAGGAGCTCCAGCCAGACACAACAATTCTGTTTGCTAGGACTGGGAAGAATTCTCACTAAATTTCTTGTTCTCAGGCAAGAGAGGCTATCTTGGTCTGCTAGTGCAGAAACAAAATGCTGAAAATTTGGTGTGTGAAGGCAGCCTGTCAAGGAAACACTGAGCTGTGTGGCATTTTTCAGTGCAAGGACAAGCTATTGTTTTTTTCAATGAAAAATTGTGCATAGTGTTTCTGCCTGTTGCCTTTTCCATTTGTGAAGCTAAGAACACACAGAGACAGGACAGATGAAATGGCTGATTGAGCAGGAAGATGCAAGCAACCCAGCTAATGCTTCTACTTTTTAAAAGTCCATGCAAAGCAGCTGTGTTTGCACTTTCTGCAAAACACAATCTTGCAATTGGCATGAAATAGTCTTGTAAAGGCAAAAATTCTAAGGGCAACAAAGAAAATGACAACATCATTCAGACAAGGAGAAAAATGTTGACACCCCAACTGTTTCTTAGGCAGAGCTGGTCTGGAAAAAAGGCAATTACTTCCCATGGAGCGAAAATAAAGATGTGGCTCTTGAGGAAGTGTCAGTCCTAAGTGGAGATTTCCCTCCGTGAAACTCAGAACAAAGTATTAGAAGAACAACAAAAAAGGTTATTTAGAAACTTGAAATCAACTAGAACAAAAAGGGGGTTATCTGTCTGCTTGCAATTTGGCAGGTGTAATCTTCTATTGAGATGGCCAGTTTCACTCACTTCAGACAGAGCAGTACCATTAACCTTTTTTGGAATTCCAAAGACAAGGAGTGGGAGACACAAACTTTTGGATTTCTGAAATGGTACTAGTCTCAAGGCAGACTGTCAGACTTGACTGAGATGAATCTGAGATCATTCTCCCCCGCCTGAAGCTGTGAACCAGGGTGCGGACAACATCTTAAGGTCAATGCAGATCCCTGCCAATTATGGAGTTGTCTCTCTGTTCTTTTATCAGAACATTCTTTAAATCAGACACACTGCAAATGCAAATTTTTATCCTCTTCAATGATTGTGGTGTCTGCTTTTCTAAAAATAGCAAGATGATATGATTACTTTGCTTTTCCCAAGTCGATGAATGTTGAGTTTTGAAGGTTGCCCACATAATTACACACGTTTTAAAAAGCAATCAGCATTCTTTATTATCTGCAATTACAAAATGTGTAATCACACTTTAAAATGGTTTCTATTTCACATTTTCACAGGGCATTACAGATGGTATTTTCAAATTCAGTATCATAGCACAAGCATTTGCTCTGTGGTTTATCATGGCACTATAAATTAGAAATACAATTATACATAGTGAAATATCTCAAGGTTCATTGTGGCATTAGCACTGGAATGAGATTTATGGTATGCCGTGTTTTTTTTCAGAATTGTGATGAACCTTGTTCTTGTATGTATATTGGAAACATCTGCATACTGACTTAACTAGAACTTGTGGACAAATTTCTGTTCAAAATCCTGTTGGTGGGGGATGTGTGTGCACAATGAGAATTATATAATTGGTGGCAGCATTTTGCCATTGATTAAAGACTTCCTTTTGTGATTTCAAGGTGCACAATTTTTTCTGCATTGTGTATGAGCCATTCATACCCCAAAATTACAATAGGATTTTTTTAATTAGCAGCAATCTGACACTGCCAGTGAACTCATTCCCATTATGCAGCCGTGCAAAAGTATTTCAGCTTCTACATATGTGAGGTGGGGGTCTGGATCCAAGGAGCTTCTTGTGCACTGACTCTACTGATCCTTCTCCCCCTGCCCATTTCTATATACTATGCTGCATTTCATATTTTTCAGAGGGATCCTTCCAGTGATCATATTCAAAACGTTTTGCACAAGTGTGAAAGTGTTATTCTATGAGTAAAACTCTGCTCATGGATCTATGGTGTCATGGAATTCTTGATAGATGATAGAGTAGTTCATCTGCTTTGCAGGAAGTTTTGTGGGCTGATGTCAAACTACTGAGGCTTCCTTAGAAAATTCCCTGATCTACTTTATTTTGAAAAATGTGACTGTCATCCATAAGTCATGCAACTGTTTGGGACCATTGACTTTACTGTGGGAAACAGGCAAAATAGGGAGGGGAGGTGTTTTGCTCTCAAACTGCAATGAAGACACACTTGCCTGATGAAGTACTGCATCCAGGAGGTTTTGCTAAGCGTTTGGCTGTCTGCATGTTTCCTACGGACTTGCATGCTGCCTGCAGCAAACATTTTGCTAGAAACCATGAAGCAATGCAAAAAGAACCCACTTTAAAAAAAGAATAAAAAATTAAAACCTGAAATTGGACAAGTTTGCTAATGCTGCTCTTGCAGTGCCCTTGTCTGGATTTCTGATCCTTTATGGCTGGTCTTGGAGTCACTCAGGCAGATGAGGCCATTCTAAGATGGGCTAGAATGGTCATTCTGAACATGTCTTTTTAAACCTGTACTCTCTTTTTAATTCCAGAATTTACCAATAATGGATTGTCTAATAATTTGGGTATGCAGTAAACATCAAACTTTTGAAACTATGTTGGTGTGTGTATGCTTTGCATGTCATGAATGAAACCTGGGACTCTGTTAGTGGAACAGATTTCTCCTGCTGTTTCCTGCCCAGCATCCAGCATCTATTTTAGAGGGCTGGGATGCCTTTTGGAGCATTTGAGAGGGCAGGCCGGAAAAGAAAGGGGAAGCCTCTTTGCAAGAGAAAAAGGGAACTCATACAATGTTGCTCTTTTCATATCTGAAGACTCAGTTGCTGCAACTGAGATACATTTGTTATTATTTTTATTTTTAATCACTGGAACCTGAAGAGGTGCCACCAACTCTATTTAAGGTAGTTATCAGTTAGTCTACACTTCTACATGTTTTACTGTAGCTGAGATTTCTAAGATATTGAAAAGGAAGAAATTGAGTTAGTAACAAGGAATTGCACATATCCATTTTCCAAGCATTTTCCAAAATTTGTGATTTTCCCCCCAAAGCATATTGTGTGCTACAAATCTGACTAGCAATACAAAGTAATTATACTGATATTTTTATTTCCTTGTATATCTTTGTATAAAGTATCTTTACCTATATATAACATTGCATACAAGTACGCAATTCAGAAGTTTATGTACATGTTCTAGATACTGCTATTTATCTATGGCTTTTATAGACACTAAATATGCCCTAAATGTTAGTTCTGATACTTAATATTTATTACAAATTATAAATGCTGTCTTTTGTATTATACCTGCACCAGAATCCCAACTACCCCAAAGTCCATGCATACCTAAGGTAACTAGTTTGAAGTAATCTCTTCTTCAAATGTATTTGTGAGCATTTCCACTTGTGCAATTTCCCCTGCCCATTCTGATACTCCCTCTTTAGAAAAGATATTCTCATTATAAATATAAATCTCTGAAATAAACAACTCTATGAAGCTTAGAATATATTTCCAGCAACCCTGAGTATCCATCAGCCCTTTTAAAAGCATACCAACCATAGTGGCTGAAGAGCACTGTATTTTCAACTTATTGTCTACACACACAAAAATTGTCTTGGAGGACAAAGTTGGATAGAAAACACCTACTGCTAGAGTTGTGTACTTCACTTTTGCTCTTTGGATGACTCTTTGAAAGTTGCCTTGAACACCTAAATGCCTTTCTATTTTTCAGATTTTAAGTAAAGTGCAGTCCTCTGGCAATAAGATGTAAGAGTTGAAGTAAGGCGTGCAGGGCTCATTAGAAAACATGCCAATCTAGTAAGAATGGCAGGTGCTCATCTTCGGGCTGGATGATTTCTTGCTCCCCATGGATAGTATTGATACCTGAAAAGATTTAAGAAGTGTAAGTGGTTTTTTTATGTAGTGAGAAAATTCACAGTGATTACAGCCAGCATTCCACAGAGATGGATCAGTAGTCACAGGAAGAAAGGACTACATGGTTTGTTCTTCGTGCCTTTGTTTGCACTAGTAAAAGAAGTAAGACAAAGTCCAACCTATCAGTTAGCAGAGGAATTAGTTGAAATGGTAGGTGACAAATAAAGCCAGGCTGTTCTGGTTTCAAAGATGTCAGTGTTACTGTTAACAAGAAGCCTAAATTATACACAAGATCCAGGATACCAAGATATGTATTTCATCCTACAGAAAATAGCCCTCTGTTACGTAAGTTTTATTTCCTTGATTGGGACGAGAATGTAGCTCCGTGGAAGAATCAATATAATTCATACCAGTTCAATTCTATACATGGTCCTAGCCAAAGGGTTGAGAAAGACCTCTGCCTCAGGTTCCTAAGGACTACTTCTGTATATGAAAAACATACAGATCAACAGTCTGACTGAGTGGCTGAAATCCAGTGGTAAATTACACCTAGATGGAACTCACAGTGGAGTAGACTCACCAAATCCTCACTGATTCAATGGGCCTACTTTAGTTGTGGCTTAGTGCTGGATTTCTGTCACTATGTGGCAGTTTCATATGACTAACTGACATTGCATTTAACTTCTGAAATGTTTCTGTCTGTCCTCCAAATATATCCCAGTCAATAATGGAAAGCTTGCAGCAATGATCAGGGTGGTGGCCAGAGAGTAAAAGAACAGCAGCTGCTGAAATCAGAATATCAGTGATGTTCACAGAGGCTGAACAGCTCCCACCAAATATCTCAAAATTGTACAGCCTCTTTACTTTCCTCTGCTAGCTTCTTTTTGTGCTGTATCCAGAAGCACATCAGCTGGACAAGTTTGTAGTCCTGGAATTCTTTATTATTGTTTTAGTTGTAATATATCATCTAAGCTGTTCATCATCATGTCGAATTCATTCTGGCCATTGGCAATCCTTCACTTCTGGTGACCCTGGTAGGGCTTTCAAGGCATTTGCTGCCACATTCCAGTGAGCTCCCCTGACTGAGCAGGAATTTGAACCCTGGTCTCCAGAGTCCTGGGTCTGCCACACAGGGTCATGATTTTTTTTCCTCCAAGAAATATTTATAGCCACATCTTACAAAATGAACAATCCTGGGTCTGCCTGTTATAGCACACAGGATCATGATTTTTTTTCCTCCAAGAATTACGTATTTATAGCCACATCTTACAAAATGAACAGATTCCTTGTCAACCTGATTTTTCAAGGGAAAGAAAAATAATGGGAAGAAACGGTTTCAACGTATCATGCTACTTCTCTTTTCTTCAGGTAGGTAGTTGGGCCTTCAAAATACTGATTAAATATTAGACATCAACTTTGTTCTAGTAAATACATGACATAAAATCGCACAGTTAACTAAAGCCAGACAACTATAAGTAGGGAAATGCATGAAAAGGTGACTATATTTACCTTACATCATTTGACATCTTCTTTGAAGTGAAACTTACCTATTTGAGGTGAAACTGTAATACCCACATTCCTCCAGAACCTCTTCAATCACAGCCTACAAAAGTGAAGTGCACTGAGTTTCATTATCTGTTGTGAAAATGGAACTAAAAGGATTTTATAAAACTGCTTAAACAATGTAATATCTGACCTGCATTTGTTCGTATGTCATTCCTTCATTCATTTCAGAAGTTCTAGGAAGACCTATGAGTAAATTACATGAGTTAATCCTTGGCTGGTTGAATGGACATTCTGATTAAATCAAAAGAAACATCATGCAGACCAGGTTCTTAAACAGATTAAGTTATTATAATTGTATGATAGCACTTAGTGCAGTTAAATGAAAAACCAAACCATAATGTATGAGGTAGTAATTGATTTATAGATACAGAAAGAAGTTTATGCCCAACTCTTTTTTCGTCACAGACATAATTCATTAAAGTGAAAGGAAAAATCAGATACGAAAAAAGAAATTTACTGTACATTATGTATTAAAGGGAACTATTTTCAACCATGTGTACAAATACAGTGATTTTTTCCCCTCGGCTTTGAAGTACCAATGTGCACAAAGGAGAAGTTGCAGTGAAACCAACTTTTTGATTCACTTTGACAGAACCAGACTGCACTGCCACTCCTTTATGCCTATAGATTGGCAGTTTCTATTAATAAATGGGTATCTCTACTATTCAGATATGAATATCTGTAGATACTTCTGTCAGCAACCATCTGCAGCTGCTAATGCCTTCCTTTAAGCCTCTAGATGGTTCTCTCCATTTTAATTAAGGGGCATCCCTAGGCTTCCAATCTGAACACTTGTGGGTACTTTTGTCAAGAGCTGCATGCAGGTGTTCATCTGCCTGCCTGCTGAGCTAAACGCATGGTGGGAATGCGGGCATGAATTTAAATGCAAATATTCCAATATCCCCAGCACTACCCCCCAGATTTGGCTGTGGGCAGCTGTAATCCAAAATGGGCCTTGCCATGGATTTGGCTGCAGGCAACTCTCAACCAAAGCAAGCTCACAGCCAAATCCACAGCAAAGCTCACTTGGGCTGACAGCGACCAGGCTTGCTTTCGGCTGTGGGTAGGTTCTCCACCAGACCTTTAAGATAAGTGCAAGAAAAGGGGAAAATGCCCCTCATTGTCCCCTCCTCCTATTTCCAGGAGGAAGCTTTCTATTTTTTTAATTGTTTATAGGTGGTGCAGCACATCTGCACTGGAATAGTCTTTTCAAAAATTCACTTCCCTTGCCCTTCTCTGTGGTGAAGCAGAGGAAATATTTAATTTGCCAGCATCTTAAAGTGGGTATCTTGTTAAGCCACTCCACAATATAGCATGTTGACAGGTGAAGAAGCCTTAATATCTTTGATGGTTGCAATGCCCACTTTTGGTCCATTGGTCTAAACAATCACATGCACTGGAAATAGAACAAACCGGAGCAACCCAACATCCCCCCGCAAAAGTAGAAGCCTCTGAGAGAGGCTCAGAAAGGTGCAGGTAGGAACGATCTGGAGATGATTTGGTTTGCTCCATCGATTACATCATGTGATTGCCTGAAAAAGGAACAAACCAACCCATCCCCACAGGGCATCAGACAGCACCCTATTGGAGCATACCTTCAGTTGCAATTAGAATAGGTCCATTTGATTCAATGGAACATATTGAAGTGCTGACTCACCAAATCCCCATTGATTCAATTGGTATACTCTAGTGTGACTTACTACACCAAATAGCAGGATTTTGGTCAATGTATCACATTTTTCCGTGTATAAAATGACACATTTTCCTAAAATAATTAGAGGAAAAATTGAGGGCAATTTTATACACGGAAGGGGATGGAGGCAAAAGAGCAGTTGCACGCGCACTCTGGCGCCTCTTGCTGCTGCTACCTCCGCTGCCCAAATGCTTCCTCCAGGGCTCACGGCTTGTCCCCTCCGGTGGTGGAGGCAGCAGCAGGAGGAGACAGAGATGGAAGCAAAGGAGCAGTCACACACGCTTGGGCACCTCTTGCTGCTGCCTCCCCACCCGTCCGAACACCTTGTCCAGTGGGACTGACGGGGCTCATGTCTAGCTCATGTCCGCCTTGTCCCCTCCGGTGGCAGAGGCAGCAGGAGGCGGAGGCAAAGCAGTCGCACTGGTGGAGGTGATCAGGTGGGCAGCGAAGGAAGCAGCAGGAGGATAGACAGAGGTGTAGGAGTAGTTGCCCATTAACTGCTCCTCCACCTCCAGCAAGGGTCAAAATTAGGGGGTTGTATACACTGCAAAATACGGTACTTTTTTCAAAATATACACATTTTAAAAGCAATTTTCCATTGCATACGTGCATGCATTTCCCTAACAATATGCATGTTTGTGCATTTTTTAAAAACTTGCTTCTTTTGAGGGTATTTCTTGAAATATACCCATTTTCTATAAGATTCCAGAACTCCTAGGTATTCTGAATGCCATTACAGCTAATCACACAGAATGCACAGGACTTTCACAGTGGTAAACATGCACTTAACTTTTATTGAATAATTCATGTTTATCTAGAAATATCAACCTCAGATATGCAGATGATGCCACTCTGATGGCAGAACCTCTTAATGAGGGTGAAAGAGGAGAGTGCAAAAAAATGGTCTGAAGCTCAACATAAAAAAAAAAAAAAGATCATGGCCACTGGTCCCATCACCTCCTGGCAAATAGAAGGGGAAGATATGGAGGCAGTAACTTACTTGGGCTCCATGATCACCGCAGATGGTGACAACAGCCACGAAATTAAAATATGCCTGCTTCTTGGGAGGAAAGTGATGACAAACCTAGACAGCATCTTAAAAAGCAGAGACATCACCTTGCCTACAAAGGTCCATATACTCAAAGCTATGGTTTTTTCAGTAGCAATGTATGGAAATGAGAGCTGGATCATAAAGAAGGCTGACTGCCGAAGAATTGATGCTTTTGAAATGTGGTGCTGGAGGAGGCTCTTGAGAGTCCCCTGGACTGCAAGGAGATCAAACCTATCCATTCTGAAGGAAATCAACCCTGAGTGCTCACTGGAAGGACAGATTCTGAAGCTGAGGCTTCAATACTCTGGCCATCTCATGAGAAGAGAAGACTCCCTGGAAAAGACCCTGATGCTGGGAAAGTGTGAAGACAAGAGGAGAAGGGGACGACAGAGGACAAGATGGTTGAACAGTGTCATTGAAGCTACCAACATGAATTTGATCCAACTCCGGGAGGCAGAGGAAGACAGGAGGGCCTGGCGTGCTCTGGTCCATGGGGTCATAAAGAGTTGGGCACGACTTAACAACTAAACAATAACAACAAATATTGCTAATGTCACCTACCAATGACTGAGCAGTATGTTTTTTCCTAAGACTTACCTGGTCTGTTATCTAAGACCAAAGTATGTCCTGCTGATGAATGAAGCACTGAGTGGCAATCTGATGTCAAAAAGCTAGGCTCAATCAGTTCAGGAGAACCTTGGAGAAGCTGCAAAACAGCCAAACACAAATGTAAACTTTCTGTCTTTTCTTTCAAATGATCTGTAAACTCAGAGCTGAAAGTCTGAAGTGGAGGCACTGAATTTAAAACATCAACAAAGGTAGCACCTACACATCATTAACAGAACTAGCATTTTTACTTGGCTATTCTCAGCTTGTGGTATGGACCTGCTTCGGAGGGAGTAGACTGACCTGGAGATGAGGAGATTCTACAAAGGAAAGAGGTTCTCCAAAGAATGGTAAAGAAAAGTCTTTCTCCCACTGACACTTGAGAAAAAGTTGCAGATCATCATTTTTGAGTATACTGTTTTTTCCATGTATAAGTTACCCCCAAGAAATTTATTTCTTCACAAGAAAGTGGAGGGGGAAGGCAGGGATCAAAGCACTTTGATTCCTGCTTTCCCTCTCCACTTTCTTGAGAAGAAAGTGCTTTCCCCCTCCACTTTCTTCACAAAAAGTGGATGGGGAAAGTGCTTTAATCCCTCCCCCCTCCTTACTTAAAGATTTTAGACAAAAGTATCATCTTATAAATGGAAAAATACAGTATATGATTAGCGGCATAATGGCTCTTTCAGAGAAGAGTGACTATTTTAATTACATTTATCTTGGTAGTTTTTAAAGGTTCAGCCTTAACCCATTCTATTTCTCTAATGCCAGCAGAGATTAATGTTCTAGCAGAAAGAACATTCCAGCCTGTGCAACACACAGCATCAAGCGTCCCTTGTATCACTGCGTACACAGGATGGATTGCTTGTGCCAATATACAATAGTCAGAAAGCAGATTATGGTAAGACATAGGGACAGCAGAAGGCTGAGCTCTAAAGATTTGCGAAATAATGTGGAAAATTCAAAACTGCAGATAATGTATACATACTTGCCTTGAAGTTGCCAGTTCCTAATACATCTTATTTAGTAAAAAAAAAAAGTTAGGGAAAAACAAGTAAGCTGCAGAATGAGAGGAAAGCCAACATATTTTTGCAGAACGTTTATGTTCACTATACCATCAGCTTCAGTCTAGACTAGTCTACACAGCAGGTATATCTTTATGCAATTGCACAAGGTACTTATAAACACCATGATATACTAAAAATCCAGAAACACCACCAAGTCTATTATTCACAGATAAGCTGTCATACATAACTACATCTACTCAGATCCACATGTTAGAAACTAAACATTCATGGATTTACATCAGGCATTTCTTAAACTAAAGTACCCACTCAAGGGGCTGGAAAAACAAACAGACTGGGCAAAACTGGTACCCAGGAACAAGGTGTGACAAGACAGGCCTAACAAGGTAACTGAGAGAACACCACTGGTTATCACCTACAGCTCTGAGCTTAGAACATTCACATCTATCACCTGCAAGCTATAGCCTATTCTGGACAATAATACTTTTTTTCTCCAGGTTTGAATGGCAAGCCTGTGCTTACGTACAGACAGTTGCCTCCTGAAACAACGGCTGGCACACATCAGGCCATGCAACATAGAAAGACAGGTAAATGATCCTCTTACAAACCTAGTTACCAACTGTATCCCTCTGTATGAAGGAGGAATGATCCCCAGGTTGGAAAACACTGTTCTAATGTGATATACACCATCCCTACCAGCAGTGCCCCTCCACTTTCTACACAGGGTGGACAAGATGCTCTCCATGCAAGATAATAAATAAATGCAAATCTGATATTAGAAATAGGTCGGTTTTCCTGAAAACTTTGTGTACAGTCAAAAAGTTATTTTCTTTGGTAAAACTCTGGCACCACCACAGCCAACTCTTACCTGAAAACAAAAGTCACTGCTTCCACCTTTAGAGACAACAGCCTAATTACTCCATATATCAGAGACAACATTCACTAATAACTCCGTATATTATCAGGACTCACAGACAGTCAACACTTTGGAAGTCCATTATCTATGTTAATAGAGCTGTTGTCAACTTGAAAGTTTATTGTCTGTATCTTGTTTGACCCAGTTCCGATCTCCATGATCATTTATATTTTACATGTAAACTGTGGCCTAAATATTGAACTCTATGTGCCTGAAGACATAGACTATTATTCACTAAAATAAATCAAATAGTCATAAAAGTATAATACTCCACTTTTGGCTTTTGTTATACCTACCAATCTTAGTTATTCAGAAAGTGCATGGAAATATGGAAATGTTCCAAAGGAAAAGTTGCATTAAAATTGAGAGGCGTGTGGAAGTTCAATACATTTCTGAATGGGCAATAGTAAACATGGAAAAATGTTCAAATCACATTCTCTACAGGTTTACATACTGACCATGAAAAAACTTTGCTGTAACCATTTTATTTTGAAGAGAGTCCTAAACCTCAGGTGCAGTGAGAAAGTTTGTTTTAAAGTTAAAAAACTGACTTGCCTATTTCACGCACATGCCATGATCATATCACCACACATATCTGAAATGTGGAAGGATTAAAAAATAGACTCTATTCTTTTTATTAAAAAAAACAAAAAAGAAAGTTGAAGTTGGTGGGATTTTCACAAGTGAATAATAGTCTATAGTATAGATTATATCTGCTGCTACCTCATATTAATCTATTTATTTGTTTAACCTTTTTGATACTGTATTTTGACTAATGTAGTTCTATGCTGCATCAAAAGAAGGATAGTGCCGAAGTCAAAGAAAGGCACAACAGCGCTCTATTGTGCTTTGATCTCATCTGGAATACAGTGGTGCCTCGACTTACGAATGTCCCAACTTATGACCATTTTGAGTTGCGACCAGCTCCAGCTGCAAAATTTTGCTTCGACTTGTGGCTGGAGCTTCAAGTAGCGACCGGAAAAAGGCAGGGAAAAAAGGCAGGGAATTCAAATTTGCTAATCATTGGTAGGTGAAGAGGCTGCTTCTTTGTAGCTCTTTTGCCCTAACGGTTAGAGTGAGTACATCGGTGGAGGCTTCGGACTGCCTGGTGCTGCTTTCTGCTCTGTAGTAAGTACATTTACTTTGTTTGAAGGGTGGGTTTGGGTTTTGGGGGTTTATGTTTCTGTGCTCTGATGTTTTTTGTGTTTTGGTGTGTTTTTTCCCCAGCCCCACCGCATGTTCGGATGGGGCTGGCTGTGGTGGTGGGGTTATTATTGTTTTCCCCAGCCTCATTGTGTGTTCGGATGGGGCTGGTTGTGTGTGGGTTTTTTTAAAAAAATTCCCAGCCCCATCACACGTTCAGATTGGGCTGACTGTGTGTGTGTGTCTGTGGGTGGGTGTTATTATTATTTTCCCAGCCCCATTGTACGTTCAGATGGGGCTGGCTCTGTGTGTGGGTTCTTTAATTATTTTTTCCCCATTCTCATCGTGCGTTGGGATGGGGCTGGCTCTCTCTCTCTCTCTCTCTCTCTCTCTCTCTCTCTCTGTGTGTGTGTGTGTGTGTTGATTATTTTTCAAAAAATAATTTGATTACTTGGAGTGGTGGGGTTTTTTTTGGATTATTTTTTCAGACGGAATGGATTAATGGGGTTTCAATGCATTCCTATGGGAAATGGTGCTTTGACTTACAACCATTTCGAGTTACACCCATCTTCTGGAACGGATTATGGTCGTAAATCAAGGCACCACTGTACTGTGCCAGTTTTGGGTGCCACAGTTTAACCAGATTATTGAGAAGGTGCAATATACTCAGAGGAGTGCTATGATGATGGCAAAGCATCTGAAAATCAAGTCCTATGAAGAATGGATGGGGGGGAAATAGATATGCTTAATGATAAGATTCAAAGGTATTGACAGGCTGTTTTAAGTTTTTGAAGGGCTGTTATGTGGAAGATGGAGCAAACTTGTTTTCTGTGACTTCAGAGGGAAGGACCCAAAGTAATGGGTCCTCTGTTGTAAATTACAACAGAGAATTCAACCGAACTCTAAGTAGAAATTAGTGACAGTAATTGCTGTTTGACAGGGCCATGGATTGCTTTGAAAGTGGTGGACTCTCCTTCATTGGAGATTTTTAAAACACAGGTTGGATTACCGTCTTTCATGGATGCTTCAGCTGTAGGCTTCCTGCATTAGTAAGGGACTCTACTCAACAACCCTTGGGATTCTTTCCAGCTCTACAGTTCTATTATTCATGCTTACAGACACCAGAGCCATGCACAAATATAATTAAAACAATTTTCAGAATATAATTCAACAACAAAAACAAGAGCCAGATACAAAACACTGTTTTCCTAAAGGGTTTTTTTGGACACACATTAAAGGGCTTTGTCCCATGAGAATGCAGGAACAAGATGTATTACATATCTATAGGACAAATGTTGCAAACATTATCACTATTGTTGTCTTACAGAGGTCTACGTGTAAACAGGAATTAGCCTGATTTTCTTCACATAGGTTTGCAGGGACCAACTGACATTTCGGTGAGTTAAGTCATTTTGATCTGTCCAGGGAACTCTACGCCTTTGAAGCTGCTTAGAAAATTGACTACTGTCACAGCAGGTGAAATAAGGGAGAAAGTGTCTAATCTGGAAAGTGACAGGAATTCATCCAAGCACTGGATAATTATTATATTTTTCATATTGTACCCTATCAACTTTAATTTACAGTTTTGAACCAAGTCACATTCTTTTATTTTCATTTACAGGATTTTAAAGCTCAAAAATGAGATGCTGCTGTCTGGCTTCAGTATTATTCGTGGGCTGGCATTTAACCTAGGCAGGAATGGAAGGTGGGGGAAGAGGTAAGCTTGCTGTTCAACATGGATCATTTTTCCATGTCTTAGGGGTACCTTGCCCTCATTTCCATGAGACCTCTACACAACAATGTTCAAGTTATCTGTTTCTATTCATTTGAAAACAAGGCACAGATGAGAACAGAGCTATTAATGGAAATAATGGATAGAATGAAAGAGCTTGGCATGTCAGTTAGCAATTGTCTCCAACTTTTCAAGGAAAAGATTAATTACTTTCTTCCACCAATTATGTTTATGCTTCCAGTACTCATTTCTGAAACAGTGTGTGTAGTTAAATAAGAAAGAATAAGGCCTCAAATGTCAAAAACGTTTTTCTTTCATTTTTATCAATGGAGAAATACATGTTGTGTAACATTGATATAGTTTATTGAAAGAGTACTCAAATATGGTTTCACTGTTAGAGACGCTTGGAAACAATCCCTTTTTTGCATGGTAGCTGACATTGTCCAGGACAATCTACTGATGTCCCATTAACAGTGAGTCGTGATAGGATATGTTCTGATCAATGAGAACTTCTTTCTAGCCTTAAAATTTGAGATTCTTAATATTTTGGGGAAACCCTTCAAGGTAATGTATTTTTGAGAACAGGGGCTCATCTGACATTTGTTACTTGCATCAGGGGTGTGTTAGTTTTGCGGTAGGTTCTAATTATTTGTTTTTTTTAAAAATCATATATTACAAAAATACCATAAGCACACAACACTTACTCATTCATAGCACAATAATTCCTGTACTATTGCTCTTTCAACATAAGTTGAACAGAACCTGAAATTATTTTTAGAATTAACCTAATCCCAAAACACCCAATTGCAATACGTCTATGTTTATATGAAGTGAAGAATTACCAGCCACAGGGGCATAGCACTATATCTGCATAAACATAACACACCCAACACATACCACTGTTTTCCTTAAGCTTAGGAGAAATTGGGAGAAACTGATAGGAGGCTTAATGTTACCTTGATATAGTTTTGATTCCTTGTATAAATGATGTGTCTTAGCTAGTTTTAGTTCCAATGGGAAAGTAGAGATCCGAAGGAATGCCAGTTTCAAAAAGAGAACCAAGCAAGCTGCTATGGAATGAGTCCCCTCTGATATGCTGATATGTTAAACAAACCAATAAGTACACCTTGAATTGAGAGAATTGAAATGAACTGGACGATTAGTTCAAAGAAACCATTCCAGACCTATGTCTGCAGGATTCACACCTTGAGGCTTTGAAGTATGCAGTGAAAGGCTTTAGGAGGAATCTTTAAGATGACTCTTAGGAGATAGAGAAGGGATTCAGGGAGATGATTTCAGAGAGGAAAGGGTTAGGGTTAGTTAGAACTTAGCAGGAGATCATCTAGCTAGGCCCATAGTTAGAGAGAACTTTGGAGATGGAACCTAGAAGTTAGTCGAGCCGTCCTGAATTGGCTGAGAAAAAAGGGCTGACAAGAAGCAAGCAATTAATAGCATCTTCTTCTTTTCTTCTGTGCAGTTCCTTTTTGCTAACATTCATAGCCTGTTCTTCATTTTGTGAATGTTCTAAGTCTGTTTTGTTTTGCATAAGCTTGTTCATTACTTTCCAGAAGCTTGTTCTTTGATTTTGTAACTGTTTCTGGTTTATTTCCTGGCTTCCAGCCAAGCATAATCTCTACTTTGTTTTAAACTTCTTCTGTTTTTGGTTGTTTCTTTTTAGATAAACTTTTTTAAAACCTTTGGTCTGGAGACTGCTTTTGGAGAAACCCAGGTTAACTAAGCCTATAAATATCACTGAGCTTTGAGAGCATGTCAAGTGTTCCCTGTGCTCTGGTAAAAGGTAAACTGATAAAAGGTTCTTTTCTGGCAGGGGGATGATGGCAGCTTTTCTACCGAAAATGGCAACCTCTCTTCTGGAGTTCAGTGGAGTTAATTTCAAGTCCTGACCGCTTCTCAGGGACTTCCCCCAACTTGAGCAAAGCACTGGTCTCTAAAGGATCTGCTGAAATAAGGGTTCAGAGAGTTGACAGAAGTAAAACAGAGAATCAAGAATAAGATACATTTGAAATTGCTTCAATATCTGAGATAGCTGAAAAAATGTTCTAATGAGTTCTTCATATCTGTTTGGGTTGTTCTGCAAGGATACTTTGTAGTATTTGAACCAAATACAGTCCAAAATAGCATCTGTGGCCCAGTCTGTGGCCCAGGAAGCTCTCTGCATGAGTGAAGATGGCTGCCATGTAGGGAGTTATGTGATGCCTTCTTCCAAGAAGGCTCTGTGTCTAGGGGTGGTGCAACAAGGATCAAAAAGAAAGCCAGCCAATTGAAAAGAGGCTGCCTGAGGCTGAAGTGGGCCAGGTCTTCCTTAGCAGACTGGAAAACAGAGGTTTCCATTCCAGTCTACCAAGGAAGTATAAATCCAGGCCCCAGGCTGGGAACCCAACACTCTGATTGTTGCAGATCCAATAAAATTGGCATGGGTATTTGGTCATAGCATTGGTTACTGGGCAAGGAAGTATGCAGTGGGTTCCCAATGGGGGCAGCATCTTGGTCTGGCAGAGCAGCTTTGCATCAGATGGTTTGGAACCCAAGGTATGTAATTGGAATTGCTGAGGATGGCAGTCAAGCACTGCACGGAGAAATTTCAGATGCACTGGTGCTTCAGCTAGGTGAGAATGACTTGTCAGACCATAAGAACTTAGATATCATGCTCAACATAGAAGAAGATATCACACTGCTGTGGCTGTGAATGCCTGAAGTTACCTCGATTTGATCAGACCTATTGAAGAAGCAAGTGTGGGGCAGAATCCAGAATCCTGGAAAAGTTGACTTGACTACACATAAGGTCACTCACGCAGCCGGTCATGTAGTGATCAAGGATGGTGAAATGTGGATTCGCCATTGTAGCCTAGTGCATACTAAGGAATGAGGGGCTTCATCTTTCAGATATGTGGCAGGAATGGCTGGTGGACATGACAGGGCCTACTGAAACTGTTGCAGTGGTAACAGATTGGCAGGAGGAAGGGCCAGGGAGAGCTCCAGCCTACCTTTAGTGATGGTTTCACACATAGGAGCAGATCCCGGGTAAGACAGATGAGTGGTTGGCTCTATCAGAGGCAAAGAGATATCCTCAGGTAAAGATCAGGGACTGGAGGGGGGGGATTCGCAAGAGCATATGGCAGTGGGTCTCAGCCTAGTGGTCTTGCATCCAGGAGGAATTTATACCCATTTAGGGCCACCTATTATTGATTACCCAGCCCAAAAGGGAACTGGGAGGTTAGGACAGACTGACCATGGATTATCCAAAGGTAGGATCTGCTCCTCACGCTGCACCAATGCTTTCTTGCTGCAGCCAATACAAGCTATGGGCCAGTTTTATCCACTTACATTTCATCCTGGAAATAAATGGAATCATTTCTCAAATACAGATTTATGAAGGGATGGGGATCTCCCAATCCTTACAACTGTATTGTTGCTGAGAAGCAATGATCTGAGGTCTGCTGGGTGATGTCAAAATATTGAGCCTGACAGCATATTTAGACAGCTTTAGTGCTTTCTGATCAGGCTGAGGCAAAATTGAGTTTTTAAAGGTTAAACCTCTTCCTCTTTCAACCCCTCAACATGCCTCCATTTTTTCCTTCCTGGGCATCTCCTGCACCTTTCCCCCCTCTGATTCCCCTCAAGATCAACTGCATATACAAAAGATATATAATAAACAAATATCTGCTTCTGTAAATCTTAATATGGGCCATTTTTACATTACAAGGAAAATTAGGCAGACATAATTATTCCAAGCTGATTAGTTACCAAAAAAGCATTTAATATAAATGACAGACCATAATTATTTTGTAAACACTCAGAAACAAATTTCTGAAAAGCACTATATTGAGCATTTGCACTCTTGTTTTTGGTTTTTAAATGGATACTTATACCTTTTTGATCGCATTCATGAATAGAAATACTCTGATCTCCCAGTAAATAAGATGCGATGTTTCTCTTTATCCACTGATGCTGGGATTTCCTTCTGTTTTATGTACAGAAAACTGTATGTGTGTGTGTGTCATTTAAATCATTTTTTCATCTCCAGAATTTCTTGTTTTAAAAAATCCAAAAAAACTAGGGTCGGTTAACTTCCCATTATAAATAAGGACATACATTGAAACTAAAGCTGAATTGTTTTCAAAACAACTGCCTTCAGGAAAGTTATTCATGGGCTTCCATTCTTCATGAATAAAATATGAATACTAGAATACAGAAATATCAAGCATCTTACTTATTCTTCAAAAATACTTCATGACACCCTCAAAATATGTACTCCACATTTAAATAACAGGGAGAAATAATGACCAATTTTTAAGTGATCATTAGAATACGATACCTTTTTGATTTCAGATTTCAGGTTGCAGGGATTGCTCTGCTGACTGAATAAGGATTTCTTGAATCTCTCAATGATTCGTCTTTTCAAGTTGCGATGCAAAGTTGGTGGAAGCTGTTTGAAGATGCAGAACAGTTATCAGAGCCCTTTCTACTCCTTATGTTATAAAAAGAACATAAAAGGATGAAATGTACAAAACAATGAGTGAACATAACTATGAAATTCTACTTTTAAGATAAAAATGGTTAGGAGTCATTCTTTCATCTCCTTAGTCTATATTACACCACCTACACACATTTATATCTTCGTTGTTTCTAAGGGATAAATGCTGCTGCTACTTCTGCTTTTATAATCATGCTCATATATGGCACATGGTCAATAATCCAACAACAAAATAGAAAAGCGGTTTAGCATTACTGCCTCCAAATGCTCTGGGAAGGTTGAATAGTAGTGCTGGCTGAAGATCACAGCAGGACAAAATTCAAACCAGATACTAGCTGATACATATGATGTTGTCACAATTTCCTTCAAAATACAATAATAATAACATGCCATCAAGTCAATTCTGATTTATGGTGACCCTATTCAGGTAGAGAGTAATCAGAAGTCATTTATCATTCCTTTCTTCTGGGAGTGTCCTAGGATGGTGCAGCTTGCCCAAGGCCACACAGGTTGGCTCTTCTCCCTGGAGGCACAGTAGGGAATTGAACTCCCAACTTCTCTCTTGGCAGACAGGTACATAACTCTATTCAATCACCTGCATTTCTGATCCCTTCAAAGATTTTTTTTCTCTTCTCCTGCCCCTTATTTTTAGAACTATACCTTGCCAAGATGTCTGTCCCTCCTTCAGATCTCTCCTTGAGGCCTTCCCACAAAGCACCATGACCCCTTAGACCTCACCTCAGTGCAAATGGAACAATCAGAATAGTTCCAACCTGCTGAAGGTGGTCAGTGCCTGGTCAGGAGCCTTACCTTACATGCCATCAAGAAAAGAGGCTAGGATACAAATGAAGCAAAGTCTAAGCTCCTGTGACTGCATCTGCTCATATTCACACTCGGTAATTCTTGCTTATCTACACTGACATTTAGCTCCTATTCGTATATTGTTGACTTCTGCTTCCATTACTATGCAAAGCAAATGTATACCGATGATGCTGTACCAATAATAATATCCAATTCTCAAAACAACTTCCAGTTTATGTATGTAGAATAATGTGCTTCATTACCCACAATTCAAAATGCCAGGAAATGGCCTGATATTGTTGCACAATATAGTGCCTGTGTTGCCCGCAGGAAAAAAGATGCCAAGCTTTACATAGCAAAGGGCAGCCTGAATGCTGACACCACCAATCAAGAGTGGTCCTGACCTGACCAGATAGGCAGGATATAAATAAAATAAATAAATAAATAAAAATGGTTGACACCACCAATCAAGATGGTCTACAAGATAGCTTCTTCTGCGTATATCCATTCACAAAGTGACACCACACAAAAGACAATCCCAGAAGCTGACTCCTTTTTTCATCTTTTTCACTTCTTACCCAAACACAAGTAATTGTCAGGGCTGCTTTTTAGCAAACATGAATAGACTAGTTCTACACACATCATTGAGTCATTGAGTGTACTAGTTCTGAACACACCATGGGTCAGGCACTAAACACTAATCTCACCTGGTTTATGGGGTCGGGGGGAAGAACAATGTTATGCTTTGGTTTGGACTACCAAAGTTGTGGGCAATTTTATTTTTCCTGGTGAGGGTCATATAATGTGTCAGCTAAAAAATAAGTTTCATGCCCTTATTAAGTTCCTTGGTAGAAAGCAAGGGGTCTGGATGGCCAGCTGCTTAAATTGTGCTGTGTTGTCTCCAGCTACTGGCAGTTCACTCCTGCTTCTGTTTTCAGAGATTCAGATGTCAGTTGAGTGGAAATAAGGTAAGAGGTTTACATAATCATTTTTTAAAAGCTTACATGGTTTTTTTTTGCTCAGATCCGAATGAAACCTGTTGCCATGGAAACAGAATAGGAGAGGCTGCTGGAAGCCCAGAACTAACAATGAGAACACTCCCTTTGTGAACTTCAGCTTTTGCTTGTTGGAGCAGATTCGCAACCAATAGCTTTGAATAAACATCCCCCATGTTTTCAAGAGTCCTGCTTTATGTCAGAACACTCTACAGTAAATGAGGGAAGGAAGTATTTGAAGGCTCTAGGGATTGGTCAGTGAGCTCTTACATTGCTATTTTAAATCCATCCAAGAGTCAAAGTGCAAATGATCAGTAAATGGTTCCATTGATTCCATGGAATAATTTACTGATATGGTAACTACCTCAGTGGGCGCAAGTTTTAGTTACAAGGAACAAATATGCTCATGAACGACTTGCTAGAATATTGGGAGAAAATATGCTGAAGATAACTGCCCTCAGATTTGCAGTTTGGTATTATAAAGGAAGATTGGTAAAAATCTTCCAAAAAAAACCCAGTTACACCTTTCTCCCCTTTCCCAGTGAGACACTAATCTTTATTTCAGAATCCTACTGCCTTTATGGGGTTGTATGAGGGCAACTGGGTGTCATTCTAACTGGTTGGCAAGCCATATGTCATGTTTCCTCACATCCACCAGTACAGCAAACAGCGCTGTAGGCAGCTGTGTAATGGTTCCCAGATGGAAGGGGGAAACCACTTGCATGATTGCCTTTATGTGCACAGTTTATGTGCTCCCATAGAATTTGGCTTTAAGAAGACACTTAGCACACTTCCAAATTTTATGTCAGAAACACCTACATGAATTGTGAAATTTTAGCATCAAACCATAATTAATTGCTAAAACGATCTGAAATACTTCTTGAGAAGAAACTAGAGATGGGATATTCATATTTGTAAAAGAATATGAGTATCATTGTCCCAGGCAGCAGGGATCCCCAGTCCTTCCTCCCTGAACCTATCTGTCCACTTACAGGTCTCAGCACAACATACATGGCTGGCGTCCTGCTAATCAGACCAATCTCTGTCAAAGCCTGGCTGTCAGTTCTCCATGTTCCTGCTCTTCTGGCCACTCCAACCAGGGGGTGGGATGACAAGTCTCCCTCCTCAGCTGCTCAGTGGCCAGAAGAGCAGGAAGTCTGGCACAGCTTTTGTGGGGCTTGGTCAACCTTAGGCCAGCGCGACACTGCCTCCCGCCCGAGGCGCGTAAGGAAGGTCAAGCCAAGCCCTGCTCGGGCCACGTGGATTAAATAGAAGGCTGACCCCAAACCGTCCGCCTGTCCTGGGTTCAAAAGCCCCCCTTCCCGATGGAGGGCGAAGGATCACAGCTTGGCACAGGGGACAGGGTCAGAAAGCCCACCCAGCAAGCCCACTGCTGGCTTGGCTGGCCATTGGGCTTGTCTTTGGTTCGACACCCCTTACTGGGGCCTCCCAGGAGGGGAGGGAGTGAGAGAGAGGAAAGGGGCATCTTGGTGCTAGCTGGACAGTGCACCCGGTGGTGTGGGTGTGTGGAGGGAGGGGGTATGCGGGTGTGGGTGTGCCTTTGTTAGAGGGGGGCATGGAGGTGCCATCGGCGGCATTGGCGTTCCAGGGATCAGAGGCGCGCCAGCCCAGCCGCAGCCTAGAGTGCACCAAAGCTGGTGATGCTACCGCTGTCCTTGCTGCCAGCCGGCGCAGGCTCCTTCTCCACCGCAGCTCCTCCGGCATGAGGCAGAGACTCTAGGCTGGCCTCCTGGAGTCTGAGCCCCATCTGCCACGAGCCGCACCACATCCCATGCCCTGCGCCCTGCTGCCTCTCTGGCCGGCAATCGCTGGGTGCACTTGCACTTTGTGTGCCGGGGTGACCATCGCCACGCCTGCAATACCACCGCCCGCTTTGCTGGGGCTGGGGAGCCAGAGCGAGAGAGTTTGAGAGAGTCCTCGCTACCAGACGGCCGTCACCCCCATTGCCTGCCTACGGACCCATGACTTCTCCCTGAGGTGGCCGCATAGCGCTCATTGGTTCACTTGGCATGGCCACTGGGGTGGGCGAAGATCTATGTCCACGGCCTTGTTCCAGGAAGCCCACGGACCAGCACTGGGCTGCAGACTGGGGGTTGACAACCCCTGATCTAAAGGATACGGAATAAATCCTATACAGTAACCATTCTTCCAAAATTATTCATAAACTCAACCCTAACTAATGAAATAATATTTCAGTAATGTTGAGTGAACTAAGCTGAGTAAATCAACAAACAAAAACAAGAGTGTTCAATAATGCAAAGAAAGTTATCTAAAAACATGGCAAGTCTTTCAGTTTGCCCATGGCTTTGTGGAATGGCTGGTGGAGGGGCTGCAAGAGAATATACAGTGCATGGTGATCTCATCTAAGTCCTTAGCACCTCTGGAGTATGTCCAGGGAAGTTCTTGGACTTTACTGGGTGGGTTTGGTGCCAGGAGTTAGACTTGGTATTGTCTAAATTTCCCCTTTAATCAATTCCAAGTCATGGTCCATCTTTTCAACCTTACAAATGCTGAATGGAATAGGAAGGATATGATGGGATTCTTTTCTCCATTCTGTGGTTATTCCCAAACAAAATGAATACCTTTCAGTCTACATCCCAATCCCAAAGAAGGGCAGTGCCAAAGAATACTCCAGCCATCATACAATCGCACTCATTCCGCACGCTAGCAAGGTTATGCTCAAAACCCTACAAGGTAGGTTCAGCAGTATGTGGATTGAAAACTCCCAGAAGTACAAGCTGGATTTCGAAGGGGCAGAGGAACTAGAGACCAAATTGCTAACATGCACTGGATTAAGCCAGAGAGTTCCAGAAAAACCTGCATCATTGGCTACGCAAAAGCCTTTGACTGTGTGGACCATAACAAACTATGGCAAGTTCTTATAGAAATGGGAGTGCCTGGCCACCCTATCTCCTGAGAAATCTATATGTGGGACAGGAAGCAAGAGTTAGACCTGGATTTGGAACAACTGATTGGTTCAAAATTGGGAAAGGAGTACAACAAGGCTGCATATTGTCTTCCTGCTTCTTTAATTTATATGCAGAATACATCATGTGAAAGGCAGGACTGGATGAATCCCAAGCTGGAATTAAGACTGCCGGAAGAAATATGAACAAACTCAGATATGCAGATGATACCACTCTGATGGCAGAAAGTGAGGAGGACTTAAAGAACCTCTTAATGAGGGTGAAAGAGGGGAGCGCAAAAAAGATATGGAGGCAGTGACAGATTTTACTTTCTTGGGCTCCATGATCACTGCAGATGGGGACAGCAGCCATGAAATTAAAAGACACCTGCTTCTTGGGTGGAAAGCAATGAGAAACATAGACAGCATCTTCAAAAGCAGAGACATCACTTTGCTGACAAAGGTCTGCATAGTCAAAGCTATGGTTTTTCCAGTAGTGAAGTATGGAAGTGAGAGCTAGACTATAAAGAAGGCTGACTGCCAAAGAATTGATGCTTTTGAATTTTGGTGCTGGAGAAGACTCTTGAGATTCTCCTGGACTGCAAGGAGAACAAACCTGTCCATTCTGAAAGAAATCAACCCTGAGTGCCCACTGGAAGCTGAGGCTCCAATACTTTGGCCATCTCATGAGAAGAGAATACTCCCTGGAAAAGACCCTGATGTTGGGAAGGTGTGAAGGCAAGAGGAGGAGGGGACAACAGAGGACAAGGTGGTTGGACAGTGTCATTGAAGCTACCAACATGAATTTGACCCAACTCTGGGAGACAGTGGAAGACAGGAGGGCCTGGCATGCTCTGGTCCATGGGGTCACGAGGATTCGGACATTACTTAATGACTAAACAACAACTGTCTGTTTTTACACATTTATCCAAATATAGTGCATGTGCTTAGTTTACACTCCATACAGGATAAACAGTAGTAAAAGGGAGCATCTATTACAGCAGCACATGTGGTGATAAAAGGAGATATACCATATTTCTTCCTCACAGTAGAGAATACCTCTTATTTTGGAACCTCACCTTTCACCATGTATTCAGTGATCTTTTTCCTTCTGGGGTCACAAAAGCTTACCAGATCGAATGCCACTTTTAGGACATTAGCTACTTTAATAAAAGCAATAGCACCTTTCACCATTCAAATCAGTAAAGTGCATGTTGCCTCACATGTTATGCTGCCTCCATGGGCAATGGTGATACACTTTGTCTCCATTTTGTCTGCATCACAGCAGTTCATAATGAACGGTATTCATTACAGCAGTACAGAACACATTATAGAAAAGCCCTCTATGCATTTACCCTAACTTGCCAGCAAGAAACCTGCTGTAGAGCAGGGGGAGCAATTTATCCATTCAAAAGAGGGAAGTTGGCAAAACCTGATAAAAGGGCAAATTGGTTTAAGATACAAACAGAGGAAGTAAGAAATCTTACAACATGTGATAAGACTGCCCTTGCAACAAAGAGGCCATGAACAAAAGAAACATCAAGAATAGTGAATAACAGGATGACTACGTAAAGGAAAGGTGGCTGAATGGAAAGCAAAAGATAATGAGTGAAGAGCAAAAGGATAAAGATATGATTAGGAGGTAGGCAGCAGTCCTAATAAATCCAAACACACATTTTACTTTTAGAATGTAGCCATCATTTCATGTATAGGAAGGTTTACAGCACAAATCTATTCATATTTACTAGGCTTAGTTACACTGTGAGGCTTACCTCCTAGGAAACAGATATAGTACTGGGACTTCAGTATGATTTAAGATTACATGTATGCTTAAAAGGCAGTAGAAAATATCTCTGTTGACTCAGAATTTAGCCACCTGGCCCCTGCTCCTGCCACCGCTTCTTCCTCTTTCTTTTCTCTGATATTTTGTTGTTTAGTTGTTTAGTCGTCTCCGACTCTTTGTGACCCCATGGACCAGAGCACGCCAGGCCCTCCTGTCTTCCACTGCCTCCCAGAGTTTGGTCAAATTCATGTTGGTCACTTCGATGACACTGTCCAACCATCTCGTCCTCTGTCGCCCCCTTCTCCCCTTGCCTTCAGATCTTCCCAGCATCAGGTTCTTTTCCAGGGAGTCTTCTCTTCTCATGAGACAGCCAAAGTATTGGAGCCTCAGCTTCAGGATCTGTCCTTCCAGTGAGCACTCAGGGTTAATTTCCTTCAGAATGGATATGTTTGATGTCCTTGCAGTCCAGGGGACTCTCAAGACCCTCCTCCAGCACCACAATTCAAAAGCATCAATTCTTCGGCGGTCAGCTTTCTTTATGGTCCAGCTCTCACTTCCATACATCACTACAGGAAAAACCAATTAAAATTCTGATATGCTTCCATGCAATAAATTTGAATGCTGTGAATTCTTTCTTTCTACCATGCTTTTCTCTCAAAAGGACCCAAGGTGGCTTACATCATTAAAATGTAAAACATCTACCAAGTCATCAATTTAAGCTTAAGTGCTTTTTTCATAATGTAACTAATCAGTATAGACAGATATTTGTCATCTACTGTTAATAGTGAATTATCTTGCAAAATGAGGCTGTCATTTCTACAGACCCTGGGGCTTCCTTGTGAATTGTACATTGAAAGCATATAGAATATTTTCTTCTTAAAAGACCTGAAAAAGATTAGCCTCTTGAATGCATCGTATATTGAAGTATCAGTTATCAGAAAGGAAGAAGAGACACAGAGATAAGAAGACAAGACTCCTGTTGAAGTCCTACATAGGAAGGAGTGGGGTTGAAAGAATGAGGTGCTTGCTGTGAGCTTTTAAAGTCCTCTGTGTTCTGGAGAGATCATGCAAGATGAAGAAATGGGAGGAAAGGCACATGTGTTCTGAATCCCCATCACTCTAGTCCAGCAAGCAGTTTCAAACACGAGTCTGCTAGCAATATATAGTGCAACAAGAAAAAAAGGTCTTATCCTATTCACCTGCTCTTCTGAAATTCTCATCTCTGAGATCTGAACAGAGCCGCCAGACATCTAAACTGATTGGAACAATGAACAGGTTATCCTCCTAGGAAGTGACACTTTGTGAAAGTTGCAGGTACCATTTGCCCCTTCCAATCCCAAAGATGGTGGGTGTGTTCTATAAATCTCCTAGCAAAATGGGCCCACCCATGGGGCAGTCATGGGGTCTGTATACTTGGGAGATCACCTTATCCAGCTATGGAGGATCAGGGAAAGAGACAACCCGACCTGAGGGAGAGCACTATATAAGGCCCCCTCTCATGTCCCCATCAGCTGTGTCTGAATTGGCAATGGGACCAAGAGGAGACCCTCCTCTAATGTTCTTCAGGGCCAAGACAGCTTATATGGGAAGATATGGTTCTTTGGGTATCTTGGACCTAAGCTGTATGAGCTTTATAGTAATGACCAGCACTTTGAATTAGGTCCAGAAATGGACTGGTAGTAGTTGTACTGTGGGAGTTATATGCTCCCTATATTATTGTTTCTAACATCAGCAAGGCTGGAAGATATGCTGGCTTTTGTTCCTTCAGTATATGTATTATGATTATGAAATCTTACAATGTTTAAAATCCAGAAGAATTACAACAACCAAATATTGTTTTCAGTTTTCTCTGTTAAATTCAAAATTCTTCCAAATAAAAATAGCTTTTGCGTACCAATTCTTCCTTGCTCTTATTTAACCCAAAGTTATCCATTAAGCTTTGTTGAAACACTGGGAGGATACCCAATGTGGTGTGGTAGATAGAGTGATGCATTAGGACTCAGGAGGCCTGGGTTCCAATCCCTGTTTAGCCATGGAAAATCACTGTGTGGGGGATTAGTAAAACCACTCACTTACCTTGGAAACCCTGTTAGGAACTGTCACTCCACTGGGTGTAAGAAAGGGGAAAATGCCTGCAGCTACTGGAGAAAAGACCTAAAGCAGTTCTGATCACCTCTAGACCAAAACATAGTTTCAGCAGCATAGACTGAAAAGCAGGATGAATTCCACATCTTTTGGAGGCTGGTCATTTAAATAAGGAAACAAAAATTTCAAGGTTTTCAGATTGCTCTTGATGACAGAATATTTAAGTCACACCCATCAGCCTAAATACAGTAGTGCCACATTATCAAGACAGAGGCACAAGAGAGGTCTCAGGTCCCTTTAGTGATGGCCCTGCTTGGCAACTCTGCTTTATAAGGCTATGAGGGATATAGGTGGAGGTCTGTCTACAACTAGGAACAGTCAAAGAGTGGAACTTGTGAGTTTCATTGCAGACTCTTTTCCCCCCATAACTCAGAGGCTGATTGAGAGCCAGGAAATTACCATGGAGCATAATGAGTCAGAGCAATGAACAGGCAATTTAGCTGCACTAAACCAACATAAATAAAACATACCTGGGTGATGTAGATGATCTTGTGCAGCTGAATTAGAATCTGTTGGATAGGATCACTGATCTGGCGCACCTTCCGCTGTGACACAGCAATCCCTGCTGAGGCTGGAGATGATAATGCCAGAGTCAACAGTGAAAACCCATTTTCTCATTTCAATATCAATCTCAAATGCAGATATGGAAAGCCAAGACAAAGGAAAAGACAGGGAGGACAGCATTGGGGTACTGCAGATAGCCAATGAATGTAGTGCTCCCCTTTTTATGAAAACATCAACATGCAACTTAATTATCAAATCAGGACTTGCAAAAATATTTTTTCCTATGTTCCAGCACTGGAAATATTATCTAGGAACAAGAGTGAAGTAAGTAATGATTTCAGAATCCAAGAATCCAGTAAAATTTGATGCTAGTTCTCTAAAATTTGTCAAATTGCTTTTTGTATGTACTTACTCAACATTCTGGAGAGAGAAAAAGCAAACTTTATTTTTTTGTCCTGTTCACACTGGCATACATGTTATACATTTCACTGATAGCACTGTTTGGCATGGAAAAAAGACTGCCCCCTTATGTTTCTACTTAAAATGATTAATCTTCCCCCTTTAAGAGCTGGCCCGTATCTTGCTGTCTCAGGGTTAGGGCATGCAATCTTTTTTGTGATGATTCACTGAGATGCAAATTAGCTCTTTGTCCTCTTTTATGGATGGCTACCAAGAGTTAAAATAGATTGCACTGAAGATAAGGACCTTTTAAGCACTGGTCAGATCACACCAAATTTCAATGCAGACCTGAGGTTATGAAATCTGAATCACAATTTTATTTCACGTATGCTCTGCTAGCATATGCAAAATCCATAAAAGCAATTCAGTTTTGGGCACCCTGTTGCCTGAAACCAAAGTATATTTAATCCTTTTTTACTAGATATCATAGAATATGGATGACTACATGTTAAAGATTTTCCAATAGTCTGTTCTTTTGGGACAACTGGTATGTGCTACATAAATAGTAGCTCCTGCACGGAACTCTTTGGCTTAACATATAAATTAAACATCTAAAAATAAATGTGTTTGGCCTACTAGATATGTTCATTCCAGTATTTAAAAATTATATTTAAATAACTTAAAATTACAACTGTCAGGACAGATGGCTCATAGCTCTTTGTGTTCTGATATAATAAAGATACCACAAATTGACTTTTACTAATCATTCTAAAGGTGTGATATTAACTCCATTTGGTAGAATGTAAAGTTGTCACCACCAGCAAACCAGTCACTGATAAATTCAAATAAGGGGACAAAATATTTTTTCTTTCATCAAATCATTATGCTAATTTCTAAAAAAATTAGAATTTCAGATAAGTGAGAGCAGATTTTTGTGTTCAATAGCTCCTGATGCAAATGAATCACTAAGAAGTTGGCAACATAGTGAGCTAAAGGAAAGGCATTTATAATGAGAACAGCAGGGTTGAAAATGATTATGTTCCTTTAAAAAATTTTTTGGAACATCTTTGTTTCTGGGTGTGGAATCTAAGGGTTATTGCTAAGATGGCAATCCAGATGCAGTTTTCAATACCAGATGGAGAAACTGTTCAACTTGTTGCTTAAAAGAGAGATCTAAAGCCAGCATAATAATGATAGTAACTGAGTCATAAGAGCAAGCAGAATTATAAATTTGGTTAAGATCCTTCTTTGAAGTGAAGCTGAGAATAGTTCTTTGAAAAATTTTAGGATTCTTCACTTATATGCTATGCATAATGTATTAAATAAGTTGTCACTGATTATATTAAGCAAAAAAGGGAACGGAGGATGAAAACATTATCATTTGAAGCATTCAGTAAAAGAGAAACTGAAACTTCATTCTGTTTCTTGGACAAGCATTTGAGAACCCATCAACCTGCTGTGGGAGCAGAGGCTCTTGATGCTTATGTAGAGTTCCTGGGCTTTTTCAGTGGCATGATCTGGAAAGCCAACATGTGTTAAATCTCTATGAGTGTTATCACATTACATAAGGATATGTGACTTGATAATTTAAGCTGTCATTGAAATGAAGCAGGTTGTTATTCTGGGTTGCTTTTTTTAAAAAAATAGTACATGAAAACAAGACACTCTCAAAAAGTGGCCAAATTCAGATTTTTGAAGAACATATTTTAATGAAACTAAGCAAGCAAGGAAGTAAGTAAGGAAATTCTATCACAGTTAAGTATGATTATTGACAGAATACAGTAAATTTAAAATATTTCCCTTTTCTTAGCAGGGAAAAAGGTAATGGCAATTCAGAGCTTTTTGGTACAGGTCATAATAACAATGCATTTAAATATGACCTTTCCACATTATGATTGGAAGGCTTTTACAACGATTGCTGCTTATGACAGTAAGTATTCAGGTACAAACCTATGCAGGAAATCTAAGATTTATTTCAAAACCCTACAATTCCCAAAGTTAAATGAAATGTTCCCTTAAAAATGTTTTCAGTGTTGACCCTGGTATGTTTCATCTGCTAGGAAAAAAGAAATAAATGTAATTCTGAGCATTTAAAATTACAGTGGACATACTCAGAAACCATATTTTCAATAAGCATTATTATCCTTTCCAATGAGTCTATGTCCAAAGTACAATAGCCTTAGCACTGCCATTTTTGCTTCTAGGGAGAGTTATGGATTAATTTGATCTAGATCCCATTTATCTGTCTTTCCAGGAGTCCATGGTATCTCCAGGTTCTCCTCCAACACCTCATGTTCTCTGTATTTTTTCCTTCGTTATGATGGGTGGCATAGCAAGTAGGAGGAAAGATGAGAAATGATGAAAAGAGTCATTGGGATGACTGGCTCTCCTTTAAAAAAATCCTGAGCCTTGGCTTTGGGTAGGGACAGGGGGTCAGAAGAACCCAGGCCTTTCTGAATCCAGATGTGACTTGATTTTGAAGAAGTTTATCAACCAGAAAGAGATAATAAAAAATAATGAGGCTTGTGTTTATTCTGGAAAGAAAAGAAAAAAATAAACTATTTTTTGCCTTTGTCCATGTATATTATACCTCTGACACCAGCAATATTTAAATCAAACAAAGATAATGGGTACATTCGTAAAGGCTTGGCATAGCTGCTATGCCTGATTGTTTTCAAGATGTTTCCTCCCTCTGTGGCACTGATTATATGGAAAGATACTGCTGCTAGTGCTATACAGTGGTGCCTCACTTGACGAGGATATTTCGTTCCAGCCAAATCGCTGTAGAATGAAATCATCGTCAAGTGAAAGTAAAAAGCCCATTGAAATGCATTAAACCCCGGTTAATGCGTTCCAGTGGGCGAAATACCTCAGCGTCCAGCGAAGATCCTCCATAGGGCAGCCATTTTCTGGTGCCTGTAATGTGAGGAATCCATCCTAAAACACAGCGGGCAGCCATTCTGAAAACCTGACGATCAGCTGTTTTGATCGTCGTTAAGTGAAAAATCGGTTCCCGAAGGAGGGAACCGATCATTGTCAAACAAAAAAACCATTCAATCATCGTTTTGCGATCGCAATAGCAATCGCAAAAAACTAGTCGTCAAGCGATTTCCTCGTCTAACGAGGTAATCGTCAAGCAGGGCACCACTGTACTTGAAAAAAAATGAAATCCCTTTCAATTCTTGTGAAGAAATCAAAAATCCTTCTATTGTTTCCTTAAACTCCTTTGCGATTTCTTACAGTATAATTTGAGAAAGTCAGCTAGTACAGAACTCTGTAACAATTCATTCACTTAAGTAAACAAGTACTGCTCAACAATTTAGCAACATACACTATGAAAGTGCTGGAACATAGGATAGAACATAGGATAGAAAATGGGGAAAAGATTTAAATTAAAAAAATAATAATCTGAGCAGGTCTTCGCACAAAAGAAAAATATTTATTCATGTTCTTATAATCAACAAAAAAAACCCTCAGTGTCAGTTCAAACCATAGGCCACTAAAAAGATAATTACCTAAATAACTATCTAAGGTCAAATTTAAATTAAAATCCAAGTAGAGAACTTCCATTGAAAACAGTGAGACTTGGTGTTGCCTAACAAGTCTTATTCATTTCAATGAGCCTAGTCTAGTTAGATTCTATAGAGAGATTTAGCTCCTGTATAGCACTTACTGATAAAACAAAATATTTAGGTTAACAAAAAGTATCTAGCAGTTCAGTTACACTGTGGGCTTTCAAGCTAGCGCATATTAAAGTCTTTTGACTATGTGTTTTCTGGCATCCCAATGAGCCGTTGTCATTAGTAAACATCTTCATATTTTATGAAGAGACAGACTGACATGAAGAGTATTTTTGATTGCAGAATTTTTTTCTTAGCTTCTGCTATGTTTTACTTGTTCTGTCCTGGCGTTCTGTTCTAAGGTACCTGCACAATAGTCTGACAATGAGCCCACTATGATTAACCTCTGGAATTTTTCAGAATCAAAACGTTTTGTTCTTTACTTTTCTTTACAAGTTTTTACTTGTATGTTCCTTTTTTCAGGTCTTTGTTCATTTGTTAACATGTTTTACTTTTAATGTAGTATGTGCTTTTCTTTATTTTAATGTTTAGCCTGTCCTATTTTGAGGGAGAAAAGAAGGGAATAAATCTGATAACCAATTAAATAATTAAACAATACCATGGGAACAGGTAGCACCTAAATCAAGTCTTCGGTAGTTTCCTCAAAAGCATCTCTCCTTGACTATGCTAAACTATGTTGTACTCAGTTGCACTTGATAAAATTGCCAATGGTTGTGTATCTCTTGAAATGCAGTGCTGACAAGGGCTGTCTTTCAACAGAAAAAATACCTGAAGCGAAGAAATTATTAGGAGCTGAATATCAGGGATTGGTTTCTATTGCTGTTCTCCCATCATGCCTGCATGGTGGTCTACTAACTTTGAAAGAAGAGACCAAAAAAAGGAGCAGATGGGGAAAAGATGAAGGCCACCCTGTCTGCCCTCCTGAAAGCTGCTCTTCAGCCAAAGAACTGGCCATCAGATTTTCTGTGCAAATGATTCCATCTCTTGTGTGGCTGTGGCTTGACAGACTCTCTAATGCTATTCTTACTGGAGAAGGCATGATGAGGATTAGAAACCTTTGACTGTCTCTAGTGAACAGCTGTCATAATTAATAATGGAAGGGCTTAGTTGAAATGTCTATGGCAGTTTATACCGGATAGGAGACAACCAGTCCCTTGCTTATATCTTGTCTCAGGTAGAAATAAGTCACTGAGCACTGCCAGAATTACTTCATAAAATATGAACTCCACCATGAAAATGTTTATCAACAAGAGTACTACAGTTTGTCTTCTTGAAGAAGCCAGGAACCATGGCTATTGTTGTGGATTGTTTGGGATTATGTGCAAATCGTAACTGTCAACCGAAGATAGGGTTTCTGAACTCCTCTGTACACCATATGTGTAGGATCTGTAATTTCAATCATCTGCAATCCTCATGCGTAGTCCTATCTCGTTGGAGCACACACAGTTGAGGAAGGCTGTCTTCGATTCTGAGGCTATGATTTGTACATAATACTGAAACAGTCAGAAAACACAGATTCTACGAGAGTAAGTATATTCCTAAATTTCCACAAGAAGACAGTCTCTGCAGCACTTTAGTTAACACTCTTCCATCATGAAATCCTAGTCCCATATACAGGCATTCACATCTCTACTCTGTCAACTTTCTTGCTATGGTAACACTACTCAAACATCACCCTGTGACATTTTATAACTATTTGATTTTGTCCAACCTATCAACTGCCAAACTCCACATTTATACCAAACGTCAATGGACTTCCTCAGCTAAACTCTGGGGGTACTTTTTCTTCCTTCTTTGTATTATACTGTAATGTTTCACGGCAGTGGAGCTTGTTATTTATTTCCTTTCATAGAGAGATCTATTTCCCCGGAAAGTGTGGTTTTTGTTGTTCTACAAGAAAACATCTACACTACTGCTATCCCAGTTATAATTCCTTGTGTTGCTATAATTTTTGAAGGCAAAATTATACTGTTAAGTACTACCATGATCTTTCAGATTGCGAAGAATCACAGCTGGAAGGCTATGGGATTTCCACCCTGTTACTAACGAGTCCTCTACGCTCTTTACGTGGGCCCTGAACATGAACGAAGGAGCTTTCAGAAGCAGATCAAGAGGCAGCAAAGCTGAAGAAATAAAAGAAGAAACTGCATGTGAAACTATTTTTAAAAAGAAAACTTCAAAGATTAGAAATGGCATGATGAGAACCCATTCAAATATAGCTGCAGATGCAAAATTACCTGGTCTACTTCTGGGTCCTGTGATATCAATATAATCTCTGAAAAAAAGGAAAGGATACTGATGAGAAAGATCTCTCCAAAAATCCCTTTATAAGAAACTCAGTGCAGTAGTCTGTCCTAAGTGCCTTAGGGTAAAAGCAGGAGAGACAGGGAGCTTCGTAACTAGAACTGACTTAAGCAGTAAAGGATGGATGATTATTGTCCAGCATCTTTCCCCATTTTGCAAGTTGCAAATTAGCCTGTTTTTGTTTGGTGGTTGGTTATCATGAGGAAACAGTTAATTTTGTTTGTGTGGTAATTTTTCAAACATAGCAGTTTCAAATATGGCTTTCTGGAGGGATAACATTTTATCACCTCCTAATTGCAAAGCTGCCTGTGTCATCTGTTTTGGCCCTCAGAAGCAGAGTGTCTGGGAATTCTATGTATGCCACCTCAAATTCTATCATAGAAGAAAGTGAGCCTGGAGATACAGCAACCAATCTGAGTTAATCCCAATTTGATACAGCTAGCTGCATTTATAGTGCAGGAAATAGAGTAGACATGGTCTAGAGGGGCGGGGTATAAATTTAAATAATTAAATAAATAATTAAATAATTAATTAATTAATCCTTAAATCTGAACATTTTTGCATATGTTTTACATGCAGCTTTCTGAAGTTTGGAAAAAACATAAATTTCCATATGTTTGGAAAAACATACATTTCTCCTGCTTAATAATTAATATCGTCAATAAGGTAAAATACCATAAATGTTTCAAATACTATAAATGCCATTACTCTCTTATTGTTTTCTTCTATGGATAACAAAACCAAAAGTGGGAGTATTGTAGTACATTAAAGATTACCAGATTTATTTCAGCATTAATTTTTGAGGCAAAATGATTCAGCTGTATTGGATTAAATGCAATTGATAATCACAATCAGATTAAATCCAGTGAATCAATGAAATTTATACATCTGATTTAACAAGTTTGATTTTTTCAATGGGTCTATTCTAGTTGGATTTAAAAACTGGCTTTAACCCACTCTGTTATTTTTTTTTAAAGTACTCAACAAGAACTACTGTTTAAGTTATTTTGCTAATTTATTCAAAAACCAGGCAGCAAAAGACAGAAAAAAATAGACTTGGTGGGGATATATTTTGTAAAAGATGTTGAAACAAAGGGTGGTGTAGGCCAAACAAAATAAAATGCAAATGCAAAAATTAGCACTCATGGATTAGATGATGATTATTTAGTGGTCCATAAAGGGATCACCTATTTTTGAATTTGTAAAAGATGCTGAGAACATTTGACAAACCTTGCAGTATTTTGCATAGGTTTTTCATAATGTCACCATGGTCCACATGCTATTGAAATATAAGCTTATGATCTGAAGTCCTCAAAAGCACTCCACATTTTTGCATATTTTTAAGCTGCTGCACATTGCACTGTTGCAGTTTGGGAGAACTACGGACAGAGATGGCCATTTTTATAGCTTTAATGTTACATCGTAAACTTGCCTTGCTTGAAACTGTCTTTCAGAAGCACTGAAGCTTCGCTTTATAATACCTGTAACAAAACACAACAGGTACAATTCTTGATGCTGAAAATACTTCAGATACCTGATACACAGTTCTTCATCATTTTCATCCTATCATAGCAAGAGCACTATAAAATATGCCATTGCATAATTATTCATACACATTGTATATTGAGAATTGCAAATCAGAGCAACACTGTGCTAGTTTTTCATAAGGCAGGGGTGGGAACCCAGTCTTTGGGGGCTGGACTGGCCCGGCAACCAATCACACTGGTTATATGTTGCTTGCCTTTGTTGCTATAAAATCTGTGTACAAATCTATCAGGTTCATGGAACCTACCACTGACTGAAATGCCACTCCTAGGACACTTGGGGCTTAAAATAAGGTTTGGGAAAATTCTTCACCCCTGTTGAGGACAACACTATCTTCTTCAAAATTTAACAGGCTCTTCATTCTGGCATTCAGTATGACTAAAGCTGAAAAAAAGGCAAAGCTATGGATTTTACTCTAACCTTGGTCAACAATCAGTATGCAATGTGGGGGAAAATATTTTTATCTAGATCGTGTCCTTTCCCAGTGTGTGTTAGGTTCCCTCCATCAGCTTTGCAGGTGGGAGAACAGGAAGGAGTAAATACCACTCATAATAACTATGTGCCATCAAGTCAATTTCTGATTTATGGTGACCCTTTTCAGGATTTTTTAGGTAGAGAATGCTCAACACCGGGTTACCGTTCCCTTCTTCTGGGAGGGTCCTGGGACCGTGCATCCTCCCCAAGGCCACACAGGCTGGCTCTACTCACAGGAGGCATCGTGGGGAATTGAATTCCCAACCTTTGGCTCTACAGCTAAACCACTGAGCTATCCAGCCAGTGGTGACCATCCATAGTCACCAATAAAAGGCTGGTGAGGAATAAAACCTGGGCAGGGATTAGGAGGGTTGGAAATCTGCATTTGCCTCAAGGACTCGAGGGTCCTTTATTCTGACCTATAGGAAAGCTCATATATTTGTAAGAGAATAAAATAAACAGAAGGTCACACAAGACAATGTCACTGTTTCCTTTGCTCAGTATCACCTGCAACATTAATACCCATCGAAGGATTTCTTCTTGTATTGCACTGAAAATATCTTCCACTATCTTGCTTTTCTGACACTCACATATCTTCAATTAATATTTCATTTCTTCTTAAAGACTCCCAGTATTAACAAATTATGTCAACAATTAGCTTATCATGATCCCAAGAATTTCAATAGTAGATTTAATATTCAAAATAACTGTAGTACTGGTATACTTTATTTTGCCACTATGTTTTTGTTTTGTTTAAATCTGATTTCCTTTCTTAACTATCATTCAATTTCTTCTCATCCATCATTTTAGTTGAAATAACCTAAATTATGTTTCCAATATTATTGTGAAGATAACATCCTGTTGTCTTAATCTGAATACTTAAACTTTGTTATCAGATATAATTTTTAAATTTAACCTACTGGATATTTAATTTAAATAATTTAAATTATAAATGCAGCAATTACTGCCAAGCACAGAGTAAGGATTCTGGAAAACTTAGGAACAATGCAGAGATCTATACAATGAACAGAAATAAAAAGTTTCAATAAGTCCATATAATAAAATATTGTTATAAGGTGATGGAAAAATAATAGACTTAAAATTACAGTATATAGCAATCTTAATAAATGGGAGGCTTCAATAAAAAAAACCCAATATTAATATAATTACTAGTAGTATGGATGACTGCAAAGGTCCAAGTCAGAGTATACATAGTGGAATTATGTTTACATTAAACATTTTGACATCAAATTTAAGAAAAATATAAGAAAAATAGTAGCAGTAACACCATTTTTTAAAATCACCACTGTATCTGCATTAGGACATTAATGTGAAGATATTTGGAAGATTCTGGCACAAAACAGGAGACTTTAATTATATAAACTTCTGAATAGCCATTGAAATCTTGAGTTGATTTTGGAAGAAAAGGTAGCCTTGCCAAATGTCCAGAATGCAATATGTCCAGTTTAATTATGGTGCAATGAAAAATCCCATTAGTGAAGTTAAGTAGGACATGCACATGCTCAATAGTGATACAGTAGGACCCCCGTATCTGCATGTGATTGGTTCCAAGCCCTCCGTGGATGCTGAAAAAAATGAAAAATATTGAATACCCTCCCTGTCCTCGCCAACTATCTGGAAGGGGAAGGTAACCCCTTGGGACAAAGGGGCCCACACGATTCCCAGCCCTCTCTCCAATCCATGCAGACCTGATGGTTACCCAAAGGAAGGGCAGAGCATGGAGGCCACCACTGCCACCACCTCAGGGAGGCTACTCACCTGTATACTGAGCTGTTTGCCATCACTCTCAGCTCAGTCTAATGTCACACGTGGCCATTGGCTCAAAGGGATGTCATGTGAGAGAATGCAATACATGTTGTAGAGACCACTGCAGTAAAGGAGGCTTCACAGGAGGTCGAAGATTACACAAACCCTTTAGAAAGGATTTAAGCGTAGGATGGGAAAACAAGTGGGCCGATTCCGAATTGCGAGGTTGGAAGGAAACGATTGCCGATATATACATTTTCAAAGTTGAAAGGGCCAAATCAAGATCAAAGAAATGGCGTAAGTAGGTGAGAAGGATGTGAAGTGAAACAGGCAATAGTTGTAGGCCCTTAGACTGTGTAAACTTGAGGAAATTGCTCCATTTATAGGAGTATACGGGTTTTTTAGATGGCCTCCTGTATTAAGGGAGAATTCTCCAGTCCGACAGATGTAGCAATTGTAGATCTGGATGGTAAATGTTTCCCGTGTTCTGGGTGAGCAGGTGAGGGAGAAGAGGTAACTTCATGGAAACTGTGGCTATCTGTCTGAGAGTAGTAAACCAAGGTTGATGTGGCCAACATGGTGCTATTAAGAAGACATTGGCTCCCACCTGCTGAATCTTGACAATCATCCACTGAATGAGCGGTATGGGTGGGAACAGGTACAACAGGTCTGTGGTCCAGTGAATCATGAATGCATCTCCCAGAGAATTGTGACCCCTGCCTGCATGGGAACAAAACATGGTGCGTGTCGTGTTCTGATTTGTTGTGAACATATCAACTAGTGGATAACCCCACCTCTCGCAAATCATGTGAAAGTTCGGTGTATCGAGCTCCCACTTGTGATTCTGTGCTGCCATGCGACTTAATTCATCCACTACCTCGTTGTTGGTGGTCGATACATGAATGGCTACTGGAAACACATGATGGCCGTAACACCACTCCCATAGTTGGATCACTAGATAGAGGAGTGACATAGATCAAATGCCGCCTTGTTTGTTGATGTAGAACAGTGTCGTGGTGTTGTCAGTGACTACCTGAACTCCACGACCTGTCAACATGGGCATAAAGGCACGAAAAGCTTTTATGACTGCTAATAATTCCAGGTGGTTTATGTGGAGACTGCTCTCCCACCTGGACCATAGTGCATGAATCTTGTGTGGGCCGCAATGTGCTCCCCAGCCTGTGAGGCTGACATCCATCTTACTTGAATAGAAAGTTGTAATGGGCGAAATGGACGTCCCATAAGGAGATGAGGGACGAATGTCCACCATTCCAGTTGTTTTGATAGCTCTGGAGTGATGGGTTCGAAATGGGCTAAGTACCATGCCTGTCGTGAACGCATTTTTAGACATGCATGTGGTAACGCAGCAGTTGTGGAGGCCATCAGGCCCAAGAGATGTTTAGCGTGATGTGCAGATACATGGGATTGAAGGCGAAATCGATGAATTGCCTTGTGGAGCTTTTTGATGTGCTCTTGTGGTAGGAAAATGCAGGCTTTGATAGAGTCTAGTCGTGCTCCTATATGGTCTACAGTTTGGAAGGGAGGAGATGAGACTTTTTCATGTTTACTTGAAGACCGAGGTACGTTAAAGTGTGGAGAACAAACTTGGTGTCTTGGATAGCCTTTTATCGAGATGGAGATACAACCAACCAATCATCTATGTAAGGGAAGACTGAGATGTTGTTTAGATGTAGGTATGCTGCCACTGGCTCCATACACTTTGTAAATGTGCGGGGAGTGGTGGATAGGCTGAACAGAAGTGCGCAAAATTGATAAGTGGTATTTGTAAAGATAAAATGCAGGTATTTTCGATGATGTAGGTGAATGGAAATATGAAAATAAGCATCTTGTAAGTCTATTACTACAAACCAATCTCCTTGTTTTAGCAGATGGACGATGGACTCTAGAGTGACCATATGAAACTGGAGTGGCTGAAGGTAAGTATTTAGAATTCTGAGATCGAGAATGGGTCTGATGCCTCCGTCCTTCTTTGGAACTGCAAAGTAGTGGGAATAGAACCTGTTCAAGATGACTTGAGGTGGTACCAACTGAACTGCACGCTTATTTAGAAGAGTTGAAACTTCTTCCTCTAGAGCACGATCAAATTATGTGGACTTGATGTATCCTAGAAGAGGGAGTTCTTGAAACTCTAGACGATAGCCGAATTGGATGATGTTTAGAATCCATGCATCTTTTGTAATATGTAACCAATTGCTGAGGAATGGGGCTAGTCATGTAAATGAAGAGGGGTTGTGGAGAATTGGACTGTCAAAATCAAAGGTACTGTTTTGTCTTTTTAGCACAAGGACGATAAGACTGATGTCTTTGCGAGGAAGTTTGGGATCTGAATGGCGCAGCAGCAGAAGAGGCTTGTGAAGATCTGCCTTGAGTTTGAGGTTTAAAGGCACGGTAAGGCTGTGAAGCGGATTGATGGTAATGCTGCTGATTGTAGGGTTTACACCACTGGTATCTTTGCTACTTAGGCTGCTGGTGAATTGTGTAGGATTAGCTGTCTTTTTGATCTTGTGTAAATTCTCCATGGTGTCATCTGTCTTCTCATTAAACAAGCCAGCTGCATTGAAAGGAAGTTCCTCGATGTATGATTTGGCATCCTCTGTTATTCCGGAGGATCTGAGCCACGCATGTCTCCTCAGTGCTATAGCTGAGGCCATTGATGTGGAAGCTATGTCAGCAG